TGTCACTATCTGATGCGATATTCAATTGCTGACAATCCTTGGTATAAAAATATCTTTTGAGGATAGCAGAGTGAGAAATCTCAGATTTAGTTTTCTTTTCCTCATCTCTCATCTGGCATTAATATGGTTCAGTTGAATGCACTCTCACGTCAGTCACAAGGTTGGGGATTTAAGGTGCATCAGGGGGCCAGAGCACAAAACTTAATGCTGACGCTCCACTGCAGTACAGTGGAAATGCTGCATTACTGGAGATGCAATTTTTTTGGATCATCTATTAAACCAGGGCTTTGTCTGATCTCTTAAGTGAGCACACAAGGTTCCATGCCAGTAAAAAAAAAAGTTCTCCTACATCCTGGCTTACCTGTCTACATGTTGTGTGTTTATAATATAGCACACACATATTGTATAGCTTACATATAATAGACACAATTTTGCTCACCAACTATAATGGATTCTGCACTTCCAGCCATGAACATTGAAGTAGCTTTCGACGGCAAATTGAAATGACGTGTGGCGAGAAAGGGCGATAATCTGTCTGAGAGTTCCTCAGGTGAATTAAGTAGACTCTGCTCCTGGGGGATTTCTGTATCCAAGAAACCAGACTGCTGTGGTGACTCTGGGCAAGCATCCAGAAGGCTTTTAGAAGCTTCCATTTCTGGATGTTTAATGATAATCCATTCATATCTTTCCATTTCGGGTTGTAGCTAGAAATAACAAAAATCGAAACGTATACAATTAAGACACAAGAAACAGCATTCTGGTATGGTTTCTTCATAAATACACTACTTAGATCCGATTATCTCTATTTCTGGTAATGCTGTAAAGCAGAAGAATGTTTTTGGGTACTTGAGAAGTATTTAGAATAGGCATAAGCTTGTCACGTATTTGAATCAAGTTTCAAAGACTGGCAATAAGGAGGGGGTAACGTTCTGAATATGTTGAAACTGATTTAAAGTGTAATTTTTCCAGTTCTCTAATGATGTTAATAGATGACTAGAACAGGACTAACTGTGCTAATGAGTGTTGATTTTTTGGCGTTCCAATTAAAGAACAAATTCCATTTAGCTTTACAAAACTTAGCCTCTCAAATTGTTGCCTTAGAGGTGCTTTATTTTGAATTGTCAGCACTATTACAATAAATCAAAATTGAAGCATTCTTTTGTACAAAATTTTTAAGATTAAAAACACAAGAGGTCGCAACAGCACACCACTCCAGGTTACAGCAATGTTTTGCCACCTCCTACCCTTGAACAACCCTTCCAAAAACATGCTTCTGTAGAAACTATGATCCAAGCTGATGTTATTATATCCAGATCCCAGACTAAAATCTAGCTGGATAGCCCCATTTAAAAAAAAAAATGAGGTGGTCTATCACAAACACAAGCCCGCAATGCTGCAAATCAGGTTTTCACAATGAAACACAAGTTTATTAGGCAAAAGAAATAATAAAATAGAATCATTAGAATCATAATAATCTGAAAGATTTTGAAACACTGCACAATCCCATCTATCCCAGCTTCATTGACATTACAGTATTCCAACACCAGGAAGAATTCCATTCTCTAGTACATCGTGTTTTAGACTTAGCCTGTTTATTTCAATTCCCAGTCTCGAGAGCTTGACAGCCTGTTCCTGGAGCATTCACACATTGAGCTTAGACCTTCTCAGCTTCAAATAAACCCTTCATGGTTTTAAACCAAACATTCATGATCTGGAACTTTTAAACTAAAACTTCTACACTGAGGTAACTCATTTCCTAACATTCCTGAATCAATTCCTTTCTCTAGGAGAAACAGTTTCATCTATATAACTTCAGCTAGGTCTTCTGAAAACTGAACATAAAAGCTTTTCAAGCTTTGGATTTTCCCCAAGCCGAAAGCAAAACAAACCCCAAAAATTCTTCTAACTGACAGCAAGTTAATGTTCTTTATTGTTTACTCTGTTCATTTGTAAAACTCTCCTAATGTCAATAAATATCCATTATCAAGTCAGGGACACACACGCTCCGTTCTGAGGAACGGTCACCGGACCCGAAATGTTAACTGTTTTTTCCTTCACAGATGCTGCCAGACCTGCTGAGCTTTTCCAGCATCTTTGTTTTTGTTCCCGATTTACAGCATCCACAGTTCTTTCGATTTTACACACACACTCGTACTGGTTTTAAAAAAAATTATTGCTCCAGAAATACAAGTTAATCATTAAACTCCCTTATATATATACAGACCAAAACACATGCCACTCACTCAAAATCTAAACTCTAAAAAATATTAAACTTTATAACATAAACCACACATCTTACATCACAAGAGTAACTTTATCAAAGAAGTTTTTTTTTTGACAAATCTCAATTCCATTTTCTACAGGCAAGAACTAAATCAGAAGATCACTGTTAAGTGAAATGCATTGTAAAAAGCCTCAGTGCTAATTCCTAGATCAGGCCAGAACTTTCAAGGAGACAAACAGCTTGAAAATTAACAACAGCTGTTACAATTTGAAAGGCGGCACCACTTGGGAAAGGAAATCTTTGGAACTCCTTGCCACAGACTGCTTTTGGAAGCGAGAGAGGGGAGGGGAATATTTGAATCCCTGCGTATATTAAGTCTCAGATAGATACACTCTTGATCAGTAAGGGAACCAATGGTCTTGGGGAAAAGGCAAGAAAGTGGGATAGAGGAGTGTTGATTCAGCTATGATCCTGTTGAATGGCATAGCAGGCTCAAGGGGTCAAACAGCCTATTCTGTTCGTACTTATTATGGTTTTAAAAGTTGGTATAGCTCATGGTTATGCATGTCAAAAAAATGACATTTTGACCAAAAAGGAGCTACAAATGTTAAACATGTATACCTATAATGATTAGCATTACACAACAGTCTCATTATAGAGAGGCGATACCTCCAGGAAATTATTTTCCACAAGGACAGTCTGTTCTTTAGAAACAGGTAATTTCTACAGCACATGTACACAGAGCGTGTGATAAAACCGATTTGTCTACAGTTCTCCTTCAGTGAACACTTGCTGTTGTCACAGTGCCATTAATATGCCAAAAGTAGGTCAATATAAATTTCTGGCCTTTCAATACTAAAATAGGCAGAGACAATGGAATATTAGCCAACAGAATCCATCAAAATACCTTAAACACAAAACATTCCCCTGTGCCAAAATAACTTAGCTTGTTTCCTCCTCGCCTCCGTTCTCTCCAATCTGTTGACAGGTAAGCACCACAAACCTGTTAAAGTAAGGACAGAGTGACAATTTCAGGCAGGATGAATTCTATGATCTGCTTTCAGATTAGGCCTTCCCTGTTAATATTAATGCTGAATAGGTTCTTAGAGAATCTTCTTTGGTTTGTCCTCATTAGGATTCTCATATCTACTACCATTATATAGAAAATCCTTCAAGGCAATTAATAATAGTCAAACACTGGTGGCACAGTGGTTAGCATTGCTGCGTCACAGCACCAGGAACCCAGGTTTGATTCCAGCCTCAAGCGACTGTCTGTGTGGAGTTTGCACATTCTCCCGGTGTCTGCATGGGTTTCTTCAGTGCACTCTGGTTTTCTCCCATAGTCCAAAGATGTGCAGGTTATGCAGACTAGCTATGCTAAATTGCCCATATTGTTGAGGGTGGGAAATGCAGGGATAGGGTGGGTCTGGGTGGGATGCTGTTTGGAGGGGCAGTGTGGACTCGATGGGCCAAATGGCCTGCTTCCACACTGTAGGGATTCTATGACTGGCATAAAACTACAACAATCAAAAATTTGTCCCTATAATGGTTGGCCCGATAATTCTCCCCTTGTGTAAAACTTTCAATATCTTTTTAAAATACATTTTCACAGCCCTCCCATTTATTGTTGCTCTCCGCAACTCAACAAAATAAAGGTGCATTCAGTTACACATCTGAAAGTTTTCTAATCGTGTTAAATATGCAACCTACCTCAGCCTCAGTTGTTTTGATGAGAATGATGGTTGGTTCATAGCCCTCGCAGCGGGCATAAAATCTGAAATGATAGAAAGATGTGCAAGATTTCCAGTTCTGATGAACAGTCATTGACCTGAAAGATTAACCTGTTTTTTTTTTCTCCACAGATATTTGCTAACCCACTGAATGGTTCCCTCTTGTCTCTTACCTAGTCAGGCTATAACCATCGTCTGAAGTAGTGAAAATCAACATTGGTTGGCAAAGGGCAAATCGTTCTGGGATCCAGGACCAAATTTCTCTCATCTCCTTTGCACTGACAATTTCAGATTTGAAATTTTCAACATTTACTGCTAGATGAACATTGTGTCTGCAAAAAAATCCATAAAAAGGTCAAGGAAATACAAAAAAAGTGGATCAGAACTATCAATTATGATAGTAAAAAGCAGAGAACCATCCAGAAACCCCAGAATCATAATTACATTTTAGGTGTGGCACTCACTTCTCTCACATACAAGTCAACCCCAAAAAAAAGCCATACCATAATGTACTGGCATTCGTCATAAGACCCACTCAATAGTTCTGCTCAGAACTGATGTTTTTAAGCATTTTACATATTTGTGCAAAACACTGAAGAATTGTGCCCCTGGACCTGACAGGTTGCACCTAGGGCTTTTAAAAAAAAAAATAGCTATGCAGATATAGTGGATATATTGGTAGTAATCAAAGAATCCTTGGATTTGGGAAAAGACCCAGAGGATTGGAAAGCTGCCAATATAACAGCATTATTAAAAAAGGGAGACAAAAACAGATAGCTATTGGCCAATTAAGCTTGACATCAGTCATTGGGGAAATGTTAGAGTCTAGCATAAAGGATGTAATTGAACATTTAGAAATACATAACATCTAATAGAGTCAGCATGGATTCATAAAGGGGAAATCATGCCTGACAAATTTGTTACAATACTTTGAGAAGGTAACAAGAAGGATAAATAAAGGAGAACCAGTGTATACAATTCTTAAATTTCCAAAAGGTGTTTAATAAGGCACTGCACAATATTCTTGAGTAGATTTGTAGCTCGGGTTGTGGATGCTGTGGCTGGTTCACTCACTGAGCTGGTTCATTAATCTGCAGACATTTCATTATCCTTCTGGGTAACGTTAGTGCAGCCTTTGACGAAACGCTGTAGTATTTTCCCGCTTGCTATTTAAACTCGGGGGTCTGTTGGAATTGGTTACCTCATTTCCGGTTTTTCTTTGCAGTGGTGTTATGTATAGGGTCAAATTCTACGTGTTTACTGATGGCCTTCTCGGTGGAGAACCAGGTCCTCTAGGAACTCCCGTGTTTGTCTCTGTTCCGGTTGTCCTAGGATCCAAGGCCCACAAATGGAGTTGCGTGAAAACACTATTCAACGTACTGCAACCCAAAACTACACCAAAATGAAGAAGAATACCTCCACCAAATACTTAGAGACAATGGGTGCCCGAACATCTGGGTCCAACGATGCCTGTCACACAAACAACAGGAAGATACAGTAGGCCCCGACACACTTGTCACGTTACCATACATCAAGAATGTATCTGAACGGACCACAAGACTCCTATGGCCACACAAATCCACATCAACCCCATGCCAACTGCCAACAAGAACCAAAGACCCCTTACCCACTATGGACAGAACCAATGTAATATACAAGATTCCACACAAGGACTGCAACAAACATCACATTGGACAGACAGGGAGAAAACTGGCTACGAGAATACATGAACACCAACTAGCAACAAAAAGACACGACCAATAGTCACTCATCTCCATACATACAGACAAGGAAGACCACCAGCTCGTCTGGGACAACGTCAGGACCCTAGAACAAGTCAAACAGAGACAAGCATGGGAATTCCTAGAGGCCTGATTCTCCACCAAGAAGGCCATCAATAAACATAGAATTACAGCTGATATACACACCACTGTAAAGAAAAACCAGAAACGAGGTAACCAATTCCAACGGACCCCAGAGTTTAAATAGCAAGCAGGAAAATACAACAACACTTGATTGGAGGCTGCACTGATGATGTTATTCAGAAGGGTAATGAAATGTCTGCAAACTAATGAACCAGTTTGGTGAGCGAACCAACCACAACAAGGTACTGCGCATTAGGCTACTTAATAAGAGCCCCTGGTGTTATAGGTAGTATATTGCCATAGATAAAGAATCAGCTAAATAATGGAAGACAGACTTGGATAAGAGGGCACTTTCAGCTCAGTAGTACAACAGGGACCAGTACTGGGACCACATTTATTAATAACTTGAGTGATGGAAGTGAATGTGCAATTGCAAGTTTATGGCTAACACAAAAACAGATGGAAAGATGATTGCTAAGAATGACAAAACGAGGCGACAGAGGGATAGACAGGGTGAGTGAGTGGGTTAAAATTTGGCAGATGGAATACAATGCAGGTAAATGTGAGGTTATACACTTGGAGAGAAAGAATTCAGGGGGCGAATATTATTTAAAATGGAGAATTTGGGGGTTCTTGTTCATGAATCACAAAAATCCAATTTCAGCAGGTAATTGGGAACGCAAATGGACTGCTGGCTGTTATGTCAATGAGAATGGAGTATAAAATTAGGGAGGTCTTGCTAAAACTATACAAGGCAATAGTCGGACCACAGATGGAATACTGTGAACAGTTTTGGTCCTTTTATATAAGAAAAAGCATTCTCTGTCATTAACGGTAGTTCAGAGAAGGTTCACTCAGTTGATTCCAGGTATGGAAAGATTTTGAGTATGGAGATTGAGTAGGTTGGACCATACTCAATGGAGTTTAGAAGAATAAGAGGCGATCTTATTGAAACATGATATTCTTGGAGGGCTTGATAGAGTAGATGCCGAGATGTTGTTTCCTCTTGTGCAAGGATCTAGGACCAGATAACACAATTTCAGAGTAAGTGGTTGTCCATTTAAGACAGATAGGAGAATTCTTTCCCCTCCAAAAAAAATTGTGGAATTCTTTAACAGAGGGTCATGGAGGCTGGGTCATTGTGTATATTTGAGGCTTAGACAGACATTTTTTTTTTTTAAATCAGTAAGGGAATAAAGGGTTATGGGGAAAAGGCAGGAACATGGAATTGAGGTTTATCAAATTAGTCATGATCTTATTGAATAGTTGAGCAGACTCCAAATGGCCCACTTCTACTCCTCAATCTTATAATCTTTAAGAACTGAAACCCTTAAATTAATTTTGCTTGATATACTGTTTCTGTGATGAAGGATAAGCAAATAAACTATACTTTTTAAAATGCTGACAGAACTTTTCTTCAAATTCCACATTTCTACAAAGATAACTAGGAGCACAAACATATTTTAGCAGAGGTTTAAACAAGATAAAACAATTTCTGACAACAACGACATCAAGCCATGTGTCCTGCAACTATATTGGGTCAAACACAAACCAGTTCCCCACATCCTATTCAACTTAAATGCCCCGTTTCACTGCAGCAAATTTAAAATTTAATATCACATCGACATTCTCACCATTGCATTATACAACCACACTGCCTCCGGAAGGGAGCTTTGTACCAATGTTTCATGTGCATACTCTTTTAGCGCCTGCTTAGCGGAAGAGGAATAATCAGACCGCAAATAATACTTGCTTTTTACTCTCCTGTGCAACAAATGTCTCTGTCAAGAGCACTAGCCCTGCATACAACATAGGATCCTCTCCTCAATACTATTAGATATTACTACCTCCTGCATGCATCATACAGTCATAGTACTTGCCTATTAGTAATCTTGTACAATTCATATAATTACTTGCATTCCCCAAAGCTGTGATTTTTATTTTGTGCCTGTTTTGTTTTTGTTTTGATCTCCCCTTGCTCAAAAATCTCCACTAATTTGTATTATTTTATGCGCTGCAGCCACGGATGCCAATTTCCTTGCAGAAGCAGTTAAGTTTTGTTCAATTATCTTTTTCCCCCACTCTGCCATCTCAAGATTAGTAGATAGTCAGGAGTTGCTGAGAAAATGGGGATTTACAAGAAAAAGGTTCAAGGCATTGCTTTACCTTTGTCAAAACTGAATTTCTATGATTTTATTGATATGTGGCTGTCATCTATGAAAATACGATTACATGCTCACTGCATGATGATCTTATGCACACTGTCCAGACACAGTGAGTTGAAAGCCATGGCATCTGACCAAGACACTGGGCACATGCTGGCTTTCATTGCATTAGATGGGATGGGGACGATAGAAGAAAGAGATGATTGAATGAACTTATACAATGGTCACACATGCATTATTTGTTTCCAGATGACAGAATTGGGACAACTCTTCAGAACAGTGCCAAATTAATACTCCACTGAAAAGGAGTCACTGTCACAGATGCACTGGCAGAGTAAAGAGTGCTTGGAATCAGTAATCCTGTGACAGGTGATGGAACTGGAGATTTTGCACACTTGTGAAATAGAAGAACAACATAAATCAGATAGAAACCTAGAAATGATTGGTTGTTTGCATCATACTGTTCCATCATTCCAAATTTAATTCCCCATACTCTCAGCAGGAAAACAGAGTTTCACCAATTTCACACTGATCAAAGATCAAAGTGCATGGGTACACTTTCCAATAAAAGTCAGTACAGATCAAAAAAGTAGAGACCATGACCAATCTGTGGGGGTTTGCTACCTCAGAGGCAATGCAGCCAACTGTAGACCCCACATCCTGAACTAATTATTAAGCAGACTGATCAAATCAGCCAGCCAGCTGTCAAACATGGGTCTTCTCAGTCTGTACTGCTCAGTACACTTCATGCTATGCATTTGGAATGTCGTTAAAATAAAGCATTAAACATTATTTTGCAAACTTTTGCAAAGAAAAAAAAAGTCATTGGATATGCTTAGGTGTGGGGAGGGTCAATGGGAGTGTAGAAAACTACCCTCAATGCAGATTGCGCGCTTAAACCCACACAGATCCCAAATTTTATGAAGAAAATTCTTTCTATAGCCTACCTTCGTCTGCAATTGAACATTGAGGATGCAGTTTAACAGGAACAAATTTGGATGTCAAAGGTATAATGACGAAGGAAAAAAAAAAGAGAAAGCAATCAGTGTAATTCCCACACCCCAGAGAAAAAGAGCAAGCTTCAATTGATAAAACACAAGAATTTTACTACATGCTAAGCAACTAACAAAACTGAGATAACAACAGAAAAAGAAATCTGGAAATACTGAAAACAGAGTTAATATTTCAGGTCGATGATCCTTCATCAGAACTAGGAAAAGTTAAAGATGTAATAGATTTTCAGCAAGGGCTGGATAGCATAAGGACAAAGCAAGGCTTGAGCTAGGGTAGGAAACAGGAAAGACTGATTGACAAGGTCAAAGGGAATGTTGATGGAGTAAGAAAAGAAACAAAAAGATGTGCCTGCAGAAGTTGTACAGCCACCTAGAAAATAAAACGAAGGGAAAAAACTATGCAAAGGGAACAAAATAGGGAAGACAGTTAATAGTCTGAAATTGTTGAACTCAACATATAGTCTGGAAGGCTAAAACATGCCTAATGCAAAAAAAAGGTGCTGTTCAATCTTACATCAAGTTTCACTGTAATATTACAGTAGGCCAAGGACAGATCTCATTTACAGTACAAGGTGAAGAACTAAAGTGACTCAGTACTGAAAGATTGGTGTGAAACTCACACTTCGAATAGAAGTGCTTTGTGAAACGGTGGCTTGATCTGTGCTTGGTCTTCTCAACCTAGGGAAACATATTTCCTGTTCGAATGATAAGTCATTGAACTGAAACATTAACACTGTTTTTTCTCACTATTAACACCACCTGATCTGAAAATTTCCAACATTTTCTGTTTTTATTTCAAATTTCCTGCATTCTTAATGTACTGTTTGTTGATTAAACAAAATCATAATTTGAGTAGTATCTACCCTGGCTCTGTGCATAAGAAGGGTTTCTGTGGAACTATACAAATAACTCAGAAAAGGTAATATCAGTTACGATGAAAAAGAAATTGTCTTTATTTTCAGCATTGCTGAACTTCATTTTAACACGTTAGCAATAATGAGCAATTTCCACTTTTGTGTCGAGAACCAATTCAACAATGTGGAAATCATCAAATTCCCACTGGCTTTCAGAACACAATGATCTGAAGAAAAAAAGCCATTTGAAAAAGGGAGAAATTTCATGGTCGTTATGCTATGAAGGTCTGCCGCTACTGTGCGCCTTCAGCTTTAACACTCAACATAATGCATTCATATAAAAGCTCCAAAAGTCAGCTTTGCACAGTAAGGCCTCCTTCATGAATCTCTTCTTGAAAAGAAAATGCAGCATAAACGCAAGGCAAGATCACAATTACCTCATACTCACTCTGATTTATTTTTTAACCAGCCAAAGAACAGCATGTGCTTAACAAACTACTTAGAAGAAAAGGAATGCTCTTATGAATGGTCATCACTTTTCAAAACTAAGCAAATCAATTCGGAAAAATATTCAAACCATGCCGGAAAGAAAGGAGGAACATCCCACAAAGTGACCTCTTCTACTGACAGAAGGAATCCACTGGCTGTCAAATGGCAGAGCAGGAGGTCTCCCAACAACCTAGCAGGCTCCCATCAATTCAAACAGGCCAGGAGTAAAGGTAGGGTGCACTGAAGTCAAGATTTTGTATTCACTAACTCTAAGGTGATACCTCAGCTAGCAGAGTGGTAGAAATCGAAATCGAAGGGGAATTTTCAGCATGAGAAGGATAACTCACAATGTGCTGAACAATAGGATGGTTCTTTGATTCAGTACCTGTCTCCTTGTAATGTTTGCAATCAGCTCAAACATTACAAAGCATCAAAACCAAAGCCTGGACCCATGAGCAAAATACAGGCTAGTTGGTATCAGATTTAAGATGGATGAACCTGCACATTAGGGGCATTTGGTGGAGTTCAGTTCATATATCCAAAGGGACTTAAATTAAATTAAATTAAATAAAAACCAATTCAGATGGTGGCTAATTCCAGGCTACATGTGAACCTGGATTTGAATTATATTCTTATCTACATTTTACTGATAGCCTCACGTTATATTGTTTTTGTTAACTTGCTCAGTCACTTGCTATTCCATAAAGAAGGTAGCACCATTCACATTCTCGGGACATACCAAAGTGCTTTACAGCCAATGAAGTACTTTTGTAACATGTTTTGTCACTGTTGTAACATAAAAAAACACAGAAACCAACTTGTGCACAGCAAGCTGCCACAAACATAAATCCAATAATGATAAGTCAAGTTAATTGAGTGATAAACTTTGGCTATGAGTTCATAGAGAATTTCCCTCTTATTCTTCAAAATAGTGCCATGGAATCTTTTAGGCCCACCTAAGAGAACAGAGCTTCTATACTCCACTTCCAATCTGAATACTATTTCGAAGGAAAGAAAAGGCAGAACTTAATTTGCTTTAAACTATTTAATTGATAACCTAGTTAACATTACCATATGCCTGAAACTCCTTTAAACTGCTGCATTTCATTAATTGTGTGCAGAGCTAGTGTACATGGATCAGTGAAAATAAAAAGCATGAGATTTCTGGAAGCAGTTGATTCTCATAAATACAGGTTCAATATCAACACTTGCTCAAAGTTGCTGACCTGAAATTTAAAGACTCATCCAGCAAAGTGATTTATAATGTGACTGCCATTATCTTGTACCATTATGCGCCAAAAACTTAGTGGGCCCTGTTTTAATCACTAAAAACCTGCGACAGATCTATGCCAGACTGGAGGTGATAAAGTTACTACTTTGTTGTCCGAAAGCAGCACAATGTTTAGAGTTTTTATTAGTTTCGAGTTTTCTTTACTGTGTACAGATCCATGACCTACAATGGCTTGCACTTAGGCACAACCACCATGTTAACATTGGTGAGACATATAGAAGTGTCATGCTGACAGTACAGGATATGTTCCTCCAAGTTCAAGGCAGAATGCAGGGGAGTTTATATAGCATCCATTTTTTGGGATTTTTTAAAATCTAGATTCTGACCTGGAACTGCTTCCTTCCCGAGACAGGTATCATTCAATTTTAATACAAAAGTAAACCGAATACGGAATCACTTTCCCTTTTGTTAATTCATTCATAGGACTGTGGGTGTTATTGGCTAGAAGAGCAGTTATTGCCCACCCCTAATTGTCCAGAGGACAGTTAAGAGTCAACCACTTTGCTGTGGGTCTGGAGTCACATGTAGACCAAGTGAGGATGGTAGTTTCCTTCCCCAAAAGGACATTAGTGAACCAGATGGGTTTTTCCTGACAATCAACAATTGTTTCATGGTCATCATTAATGTCATTTTTTTTATTGATTTAAAATTCCACCAGGTGTCTGGACTAATAATCTAATGATAACACTGCTAGACCACTGTCTCTTTGGTAAGCTAAAAGCAGCTTTAGCACAAAAATAAAATGATTACAGGTAACAAAAAGTATATTTCTTTTGTTCTGAACACATGAAAATGAAAGGGAACTCAGTACTAACTGCTTCAGATGAGGTTAGTATTCTCAGAAAATCACAACCAGGAAACTGGGACATTTTAAAACTAAATAGTTCGGGCAAGGAATCAAATATGGAATGATGTGGTATATTCAAAGAGTTTTGGAGTAGATCTGTAGCTCGGGTTGTGGGTGTTGAGGTTGGTTGGCTCGCCGAGCTGGTTTGTTGTTCCACAGACGTTTTGTTACCGTGCTTGGTAACATCCTCAGTGCAGCCTCTGATGAAGCGTCAGTGTGTTTTCCCGCCTGGTTTTTAAACTCTGGGGTCCGTTGCAATGGATTGCCTCACTTCTGGGTTTCCTCCGTAGTGGAATGTATATGGGGTCAAGTTCAATGTTGTTTATTAATAGCATGCTTCGTGCAGTGCCATGCTTCCAGGAATTCTCATGCTTGTCTCTGCCTAGCCTGTCCCAGGAACTTGGTGTTGTCCCAGTCGAAGTCGTGGTTCTCCTTGTCCATGTGGATTGAGATGAGCGAGTATTGGTCGTGTCTTTTTGTAGCCAGTTGGTGTTCATGTACTCTTGTTGTTAGTTTCCTTCCTGTTTGTCCGATGTAGTGTTTCTCACAGTCTCTGCAGGGGATCTTGTAGATGACACTGGTCCTGTCCATGGCGGGGAATGGGTCTTTAGTTCGGGTGAGCACTTGTCGTCGAGTTGATGTGGGCTTGTGTGCCACTCTGATGCCCAGCGGTCGTAGAAGTCTTGTGGTGAGTTCTGACGTGTTCCTGATGTAGGGTAGTGCGATGAGTGTGTCGGGGCATGTAGAATCTTTCTGATGCTGTTCCCGTAGGCATCTCCTGACCCAGTTCTTTGGATATCCATTGTCCTTGAACACTTGGAAGAGGTATTCCTCCTCCTCTTGGCGTAGTTCTATGTTGCTGCAGTGTGTTGTTGCCCTTTTAAATAGTGTTCGCACGCAGCTTCGTTTGTATGTGCTGGGATGGTTACTATTGAAGTTCAATACCTGGTCTGAGAGCGTGGCTTTTCGGTGTACTTTCGTTTGCAGTTCTCCATTTGTCTTGTGCTCTACCATGACGTCCAGGAATGGGAGTTGTTTGTTCTTCTCCTTCTCTCTGGTGAATTTTATTCCGGTGAGGGTGTCGTTTATGAGTTGTATCTCTCTTCTAGTTTGGTCCGTTTAATGATGACAAAGGTGTCGTCTACGTAGCGTATCCATAGCTTAGGTTGGATTTGCGGAAGGACAGTCCTTTCCAGTCTTTGGATCACTGCTTCTGCTATGAGTCCGGAGATAGGCGATCCCATGGGTGTCCCATTGATTTGCTCGTATGTTTGGCCATTGAAGGTGATGTGGGTGGTCAGGCATAGGTCCAGTAGATTAAGCAGGTTGTCCTTGGAGATGGTTTCACTGGGGTCGTGTTCTTGTTCAAGTAGTGTTGTCATTGTTTCCCTTGCTAGTGGTATGTCTATTGATGTGAATAGGGCGGTGACGTCAAACGATATCATGGTCTCTTCGTCCT